GCGCATGGCATGTTGAGTCCACAGTGTCCACTGCCCCTTACTGGTGGTGTTAATCCTGATTACGCAGGCCACTATATATTATATTTGCTATGCTTTCATTTTGTAATTAATAAGCAGTCTGAGGGAGACATTTTAGAACCATGCAAGTATCCAATTCCTCATGAGAATTCCCCCTTAGATTTTGCAGTCATTGATGATTCTTGCCCAAACAATACTTACTATGATGTTTGCAAAAGAATGGTTATCCAACTCCAGCCCTTCCCCCATGCTTATGGGTTGGCACACAGCATTCCACTGAAAGCAAGAACCCTCCCTTCTCCCCATACATTTATTTACTTACTACTTGTTTTCCATCGGGACTCATGGATTCCAGATTTTCCCAGATTTGGCCAGTAGGAGCATATTTAGTAGTTTTTGATTGCATGGTGAATATTGTTTGATGAACGTTGTTGCATTGTTGAGTTTCTAGATTTTGTTGCTTTCTTTTAAAGAACTTAGAAGTTTGTTTTGTCACACAGGTAAGTTCCATGTCAGCATGATTGTTTCAAGGATTGTTTTTAAATGTTGTTGGGGCAGGTCTCATATAGCCTAATTTATCCTATGGAAGTTTTGGCACTACCACGAACAAATTTTCCTTCTGAAGTCTCTAACAAGTGTGCTGGGTGTTTACCAGGGTCTCCCCACAGTGGCTGGTTACAATTCTAATGTCTCTGAGCTCTGTGTGAGTTCTGAATTTTTCAGCTTACATCTCACCTGTCTTTCTTTATCTGGCTTCAAGGAGTTGTATTCTATGCACAAGCAGCTTAGTATTAGTAGCATTTTGGAGGGATTCCCCAGGTATTGTAGATTTCTGGAACTCTTGCTCTCCAAAGCTCTAGTCCTCTGTCAAAATTCCAGCAGGTTCAGCCTCCCCAAACTCTGATTAATGACTCCTCAACTCAGCAAGACCTCCAGCTCTGTTTGGCCAGTGTCTCCAGATGAAAACAAACAAAGAAACAAACAACAAAAAAAACCAAGTAGTTGTACGATCCGTCCCACCATCTCCTTTCTCTCAGGAATCACAGACCAGCACCCTCTGTTGCCCATTGTCTGAAAGCAGTTGTTTGATGATTTTCTTCCAGTTTTCTAGTTTCCTGCAGAAGGGCAAGAATGGTACCAGTTCCTCTGACGTGGTCAGAAGTGAAAGCTCTTATGTTTCCCATTTACACACATTAAAGTTTTTATTAGTTTATCTGGAAAAGGGCAACCCTTTCTCATGTAACAGAGTTTGGTGACTTGTTTTAGTATTTTGTCTTTTATTGTTTTCACTTGGACTTCCTGTTGTTTGTAGATGAACCTGAGAGTCCTTTACGGAAACCTGAGCTCAGTCTTTTTTTCATGCATGTGTCCTAGGCGTGCGAACACAACACCACCGGGGACCACTGTGAGCACTGCCTGCCCGGCTTCTATGGGCTGCCCTCCCGCGGGACTCCCGGGGACTGCCAGCCTTGTGCCTGCCCCCACTCCTCAGCCTCCAACAAGTAAGTCTGGCACTTCCCCCAGATGCTGTCTGTCATGGCCAGGATTTCCATCCACATATGTACTGCTGTCCACAGAGGAAGACTTTGTGTGTAATAAGAGTGTGAATTTTGCCCAGTGGTAATTAATTAGGATTAAAGATGGAGGGGTGGATTGTCTTTAAAAAAAAAGTTTGGTGTATTAAATTATGTAAGGAAAGTTGTGTGATGTCCAGGACATTTGCATACTCTTTTTCCGTTTGGTATAATGTTGGTCATCAGTTCTTTCATATGTATATATTATGTGCCTACCACTGAGCTAGGGGGTATAGAGGATACAGGGATGAATAAAATATGTTCCTGGGCTTAAGGAGTTTTTTATATAATGACCAAAATATGAGGCTTATTAAGAATGGGCTGAATTAATTTAATTGATTCAAAAAGTATTTATTGAGCGCCTACTATATACTGGGTATCATGGTAGGTACTCTGAATATCGAACTGTTCATCCATGGCTGCCGGCCCTTGGAATCCACAGTGTGGTCATGACCACCGTGGAGGAATGTCCACTGAACAGTGAGAATCTGCCATGAATGACTCTCTGAGTAAACTCTTGATCTGAGACTTGAAGGATGAGAAGGAATTTGAAGGCAGCAGAGATGGGCATTCTAGACAGAAGGAACTGAGTGTGCCAAGGCATGGCAGCATAAAAAAGCAGATCACATCTGAGGAGTTCAGATAGTCCTGGATCTAAAGGCACGAGGGGACGTGGAAGGAGACAGTCATGTGCAAGGCCTGTACATCATGGGGCATGGGATGTGGTGTCCTACAGACCCATGGTTTGAAAGCTGCTTTCTCTCTCACTGGTTTACCCTTTAGAACTCTTCCTCCATCCACACCCAAAGCACTTCCCCCATGGGGGTTTTTATTTGAAATGCCAGTGTATAAAAGATAGAATCAAGGTAACTCTGATGAAATCTAGGAGGACTCTTAACCACCCCCATACCTCCCTTCACAGGCCTTCCTGAGACCCAGGAATAGAGTTTGAAGGGACCCTGGTCAGCAGTGGGGGTCCTCTGGGAAATGTTGATTACTCAAGTGTGTAAGGGAGCTCACTCTTGGCCAATGTGGGCCAGGTTCTGAGGCTGGCGAGCAGGCCAGGGAACCCAGAGGAGAGGAGCAGGGCTGGAATAGCAGAGCAGGCCCCCTGGAGGAGGTGACAGCTGAGTTGAGTATTGGGGATGAGCTGGGTGACCAGCCCACGCAGAGAGGGGAGAAAGCACACTCCAGTAGAGGTGTGCTGTGTGGCCTTGAGTTCTGGGCTAAGGAGTGAGGACCTAAGGTTTGTAAGGACAGGAGTGGTAGAAATTAAGCATTTAAAATATTTAGCAATTCTGTACCCATGCATGGGGAAATTACATTCGTTTTTAATGTTTTGATAGTTTCAGCCCCACCTGCCACCTAGATGATGGAGATGAAGTAGTCTGTGACCAGTGTGCCCCGGGATACTCAGGAACTTGGTGTGAGAGGTACTCTGCCTTGCTCAACTGGTTTCCAAAAGATGCATTAAAAATTATTTTAACATAAATTCTATGTGTTTATTTTTAAATGTGTAGTTAAGTGTGGTTTTGGAGTTTTGGTACATAATTATCAATTCATATAATCTTAGAGAAAAGCCAATATATCAATTAAAAAATTAATATTGAAACTCCCTGGGAATTTTTCGAGAATGGCATTCGACCTCCTTGAACTAAATCGGAGTTCTCATCAATAACAACAGGAATCAGCAAGGAGTCAGTATTTACTATTCACACATTTAAACAGTCCTTTACTCTGGATCAGGGGTCAGCAAACTTTTGAGACAGAAGAGCCGCTAGGGGTCAGCAAACTGTGGCTCGTGAGCCGCAGGCTCTGAAGTAAAATCGAAAATGAAAATAAAACTATCATAGTTTCTTTATAAAATTTTTAAAGGATATTATTCACATAATGGTGATCATGTAAAAATATATTTATGGCTCTGGAATAATTTTTAAATTGTTGTGAGGGACAGGGTTAGCTCTTCCAGGGGTCGGCAAACTTTTGAGACGGAACGTGCCCAAAGAGCCGCATGTGACTCACAAGCCGCAGTTTGCTGACCCCTGCTCTGGATAATTCCGCAGGGGAGGGGTGGTTTGATTAATAGTTGTCTTCTGGTGTCTGAAAGCCAATGTTATCTGTTCCCACACGGAAGTCTCAGTGCCGAGTCTGGCTATAGTCTGTAGGAGAGGGTGACATCCCTGAGTGCTGGGATGTGGGTCAAATTGGCATGGGGCCGGGTCCACGTCTCCTTGGATTAATGGCTCATTTTGGATGCACTCTCTGTCCTTCTCATTGAGTAAAGGAAATCTGTGCATGCCTGAACTTGGAGTTGCATTCCTTCCACAGTATAAATCTTTCACTAAGAATCAGTCTGATTGATTAACCATTCAGAGAACCCCTGGATGTTGGGGTAATGTGTAAATAAATTGCATTTATTTGGATCCCTCTTTCAATCTTTTATGCAGATGCGCAGACGGTTACTATGGAAACCCAACAGTGCCTGGGGAATCCTGTGATTTGTGTAACTGCAGCGGCAATGTTGACCCCTCAGAGGCTGGTCACTGTGACTCTGTCACTGGAGAATGCCTGAGGTGCATTGGAAACACAGATGGTTCCCACTGTGAAAGATGTGCTGACGGGTTCTACGGGGACGCTGTGACTGCTAAAAATTGCCGTGGTGAGTGTATGGGCTGTGAAGTCGAGTTCATTACTTATGGCTATGTGAAGTCTCCATCCATTTACTTACAGGTGTCAAAAAGTGATCAGCCCATGAGGAAACTTTATCTGAGTGGTTCTTGTGTTAATGCTGGGTATGGACCCAAGAATGAAGACATTCCTAGCTACCCTATGTTAGCTTCCTAAGTTACTCCACATGAAGGTCAGATGGCCTAGAAAGGATGCACTTTTCCATCTGAGGACAAAGTGGTCCTTTATAAAGTGCTAGCATTGCTCTCAGGGACTGAGATGAAGGAAGAGTGATACTCCACTCCTGTCATGTTTGCGAGGGAGATGCTAAGGGGTTTCGTGAAGCAAATGGGATTTCAAGATGCAAGGTGAGAAAGAGGGAGACTGTAGCCCCAGAAATTGGTGCATCTTGGTCTTTCTACGCCTGACCTACTGACCCCATGTTGCTCTATTGGGCTTTGCTTAGATCCTTGAAATTATGAATCAGGTAGAACCACTCACTGAGAAAAGCAGGTTTTCATATTCCCTAGATGTCAGACTTAAAGCCTTAGGGGCAATACAGCCCGTAGGGTTTTTTTTTTAATTATTATTATTTATTTTTATTTATTTATTGCACAGTTCTTGAAGGAATGAGAGTAACAATGACAATTATAAATTATTTTGATAATTTCCTATAAATGCTGAAATCCTACTGTGCTATTACAATATGGAGACACAAGAAGGTGCTAGCAGGACAGACAAGATATTTTCCCAGGCACACATCAAGAAAGAGATCAACAAGGTTTTATAGTCCAGGGCCAATGAACCTGACCTTCAGTTCAGCAGCATGGCCACCTTGATTGGTTATTATCGGAAGATAATTATGATAACTGGTATTCTTATAAAGCTCCAAAGTTTATTAAATTCTTTTGCAATTCTCATATTATTTCTTTTCATCTTTATGGCAAGCCTTGATGATTCATTTCTTAGTTTATTTGTTACTTCCCAGGCACTGGACTAAGTATTGTGATAGGAGTTTGAAATGTATGGTTCAGGTCTATTGGGGGAACTACATATGTTGGTGTAGATGATAAGCACATATCCACATATGGAGCTCAGGCTTTGGAGTCTGATTAATATAGGTTAGGGTCCAGGGTTGATAACTGAACGATTGTGTGACATTAGGCAAATTTATTAACCTATCTGAGCCACTATTTCCTTATACATAAAATCGACATAATGATATGTATAAATTAAGGCCTTTCTGAGAATTCAAAGGAATAACAAATTTAAAGTTATAGACATTAAATGGTAGGTATTATAATTGCTCGTAATAAAAACAGTAATTTTTAGGGCTGGCCGAGTGGCGCATTGGTTAAGAGCTGGCTTGGGACTCCAGAGGGCCCCGGTTTAGATCCCACATATGAGGGCCAGTGACACTGCCCTCTACAGCTAAGATGCTGAACAACAGCTCAACCTGGAGCTGGGTTGCTGTGAGTCGCCAGCGACGGTGTAGGCTGCAGCCCCTGCTGCAGTGGGTTGCCATGGGCTACCATATGTAGCCAGCAGCCAGCGTGAGCGGCCAGCAGCCGCAGTGAGTGGCCGTCCAGAAGCCGGCGACTGATCTGCCTCGCCCGGGAAGAGCGCAATGATGGTGCCAACTTGGGCCAGTGAAGCAACGTCCTCCACAACTAGACTGAAGAACAAAAGGACAGCAACTTGTCTGTTCCCCTTCCCCCAATTCCCCAGCGCTGTTCCCATCCCCCAATTCCCCAATTAAAAACAAAAACAAAAAAACCAGTAGTTTTTATTATTTTTCTACATTAATGCTGTCCAACAGAAACGTAAGCCACATGTGTAATTTAAAATTTTTTAGTAACCACATTTTAAAAAGGAAAAAGAGACAGGTGAAATATTAGATTGTCGGGAAAGTCATAATGCATTTTTTCAACGAAAAACAGAAAAACTACGTCATGACTTTTCCAACAACCCAATATATTGTAATAATATATTTTATTTAGCCCAATATATAAAATGTATTATAATTTTATCATGAAATCAAATTTTTAAAGTATTGATGAGCTACTTTCTTTTTTTTTTTTAAGTATTGAGTCTTTAAAATTAAGCATATATTTTATAACCCATCTCAATTAGGATGCTAAATTTTCATTAAAAATACTTGATCTGTGTTTAGATTACACAAAATTCATTGTTGAAGAAGAGGATTCATACATTCAAATTATTCAAACATATTGAATGTACCAAAAAGTCATTTTCCTTTAATATATGCATTCACATTGACAAAACTATGTCAGTATTTTGCTGTGGGGATAAAAGGGAAGATAGAAAACAGAAGATTTTGGTGATAAATGGAAGGTGAAGGAGCAGTGTTAGGACAGGTAGCACTGGGGTCTGGGTCCAAGTTCTTGGCCCAGGCAGCTGGACTGAACTGTCCTGGCCCTCTAGTTATAATTTTTATTATTTTCTCATCTTCTCCTCCCTCACCCCTAGTTTTGATGAGATAAATTCCTACAACTGTTTCTGGATATTTCATTAGAAATCCTTCCAGGTATTGAACAGGGCCCCTTGTATGGGCTTCCCAAAGATCCACTCTACATGCTAATATGATACTGTATTTTATTAGGCTAAGCCAAGTAAAAAACTCAATATTCAATATCACTGACATGGGAAGTTCTATGGAGTTGTTGGGAAGACATTTGGATATTCAAGGGTGCAGGAATCAGGGAAGAAATGGAGCCTGGTAGTTGAAATGGTAGATGTGGGCACAGCTGTCTGGGGCAGAGAGTGGCACTGAGAAAGGAAAGAGCTGTGGGAGCCCTGCTGAGCTCTAACATTAAAGGAGCCTCTTGTGAATTAAGTTAGTGGGTATAATTTTCATATTGTGGGGCTCTTATGAGAATTAAAATATATGCAGTCGGTAATTGGCAACTGCTTTAAATTAGTATTGGTTATAACATGAACAATTTTGTATTAATAATTGCTATTATAATTGTTATTATAGAAGGATAGGGAAGCTTTGCGATCTTATGGCAAGTTACATAATCTGTCTAAGGTTTAGATTTCACACCGAAAGAGAAAATTATATGCTTCCCTCCTAAGTTTGTTACAAAGGTTAAATGAAATATTGCCTGTGATGTGACAGGCACAAACCGATAGAATGACAGATATGATTTCTTATTATCATCATTTTTTGTGATGATCGTACAGTGAACTTTGAATTTTCACCAAAGGAAGGGGAAACTTTAAGTGAGACACAGGGTGGGAGGCCCAGAGGGAACTAGGAAAAACAGGGAGAAATAACATGAGAAACAGAAAACTGAAGAATGGGTGTTCGGAAAACTTGGTAAGGAGAGAGTTCTAAAGGGAAGGAGCAGTCAGGGGTCCCATTCCTGACTGATACAGCAAGATGGAGACTGAAAACCTGCTCACGGACTGTGTACCTGGGAAGTACCTGGAAACTTCAGGAGGAGTGCTTGGAAGATGGGTGTGTGTGTGTGTGTGTGTGTGTGTGTGTGTGTGTGTGTAGAGAGGTGGGAAAGAGAGAGAGAGGTGAGAGAGAGGGAGGGAGGGAGAGAGGGAGAGAGGAGAGAAGAGAATGTGGGCGTATGTACGTGATATTTTCCATGGGAGACAGTTGAGAATGGTTGGAGGCTGAGGAGTGTTTTAAAATACAGGTTTTATTATTATTTGGGATGGCAAGGCCAGCAGATCATGAGATGATTACCACTGAAAAGATAGTTTGTTACTCACAGATGCCAGGAGGAGGGGGGACTAGCCACAGCATCGGGTTGGCCGTGTGGGGTACCTCCCAGGTTGGTCAGGAGGCAAAATGTGGACTAGAGCCTTTTCGTGGTTTCTGCGAGGCAGGATAAATAGGTTTGGGATTCGTTGGTTTGAATAACTTCAGCAGGCTCTGAGGCATAGGGGCTTTCCCTAGTTGTCTGAGGCATGGCCCTTGGATTATTAGGGCAGTGGGTAGTGGGATGTGAGAACACAAATGAGTTTGAGAGCCCAATAAAGAAGGCAGTTAGGGGCATGGGCTCTGGATTGGTTGGTTTACACATGAAAGGCATTCCAGCTGTTTACTATCTCTAGAAATAGACTAGCCCTGGGAGGGTAGTCTCTCCAGAGTCAGCAAGGCCCCAGAAGTCAAAGCATTACATATACAGGAAGTAAAAGGCATGTTTAACATAAAGAGTTAGAGTTTTCAAGGGGCAGCCAGTTAACTCAGTTGGTTAGAGCACAGTGCTCATAGCACCAAGGTTGCTGGTTCGATCCCCACATGGGCCACTGAGCTGCGCCCTACACAACTAGATTAAAACAACTACTTGATTTGGAGCTGATGGGTCCTAGAAAAACACACTGTCCGCCCCCGCCCCCCCCCCAAAAAAAAAAAAGTTAGTAGAGTTTTCAAAGTTTGACTACAGGAATGGGCAGAGCAGAATGGGCAGCAGTGAATGGGGCCCATAGCACTTAACTGGCCTCCTGTAGGAGCTGTCAGTGTCAGCGCACTTCCACCAGAGAAAACCTCCAGTGAGAGAGTTGCTCCAGAGCTTGGCCAAGGTCAGTCAAGGAGGCAGAATTCCACCACCTTTCTCCTGACCATCATCTTTCCAGTTTCCAGTGTTTCCCACTTCTCTGCCTCCCACTGCAGTAGGCTTCCACACAAAGTTGTACTTGGGGTTGAGATAATTTGCAAAGTTTTTCTTTTCTTACATTACTACACCATATGACAGAAATTGTGCATTTTCTGAATCCAAGCTTTCATAAATAGTATACATGCCTAAGATATTTTGTAAGTGAACATATTAGATATTTAAAATGAAGTGCATATTGACAGCTGTGGTATGACTATCAGTTAAACATGTCTTGGATTCATTAAATTGCATCACTTTGGAAAGGTAAGGGATTTGTAGCTTTAATCATCAATATTATAACTAGATAAAACGAACATCTGGCCTGAAGATAAGTTTATTAGAACTACATATGACTCATGACTTAGAACAGGAAAATGTTTTTCATTAAATTATGAAATATAATATTTATCTAGGTTGCTATAACTGAGCTTTAAAATACTAAATATAGACATGATTGGACTGAGAAAAAATTGATAAATTGATTTTGAAATCACCATTGCATGTTTTTTAATGCAGATTTGTGGATATATATTGGTGGGTCATTGAAAAAATTTCAAGGAGTTTATGAAATTGGTCAAGTTCGTTTGCTAATTATTATTTTAATAGATTCAGTAGTTTATTTCCTCTCTGATGGTTCCTTCTACCAGTCCTATTTTGGCTTACTCTTCAGAAAAAAATGCTAACTAGTTAAAGTTATTTCAACGTAATATCCTCATATGTATTTTTTTAGTTTTGTGATTGGAAACATGAATGTTTAAAATCTTTTCTTTGGGGATGAAGAGATCTTATTTTAACCATACTCAGAAATGCACATGAATATGTTTTTTTTGTGTGTGTGTTAGCCTGTGAATGCCATGGAAAGGGCTCCTTTTCTGGCATCTGCCATCCTGAGACGGGGCTCTGCGACTGCAAACCACATGTGACCGGACAACAGTGTGATCAGTGCTTGGTAAGATGCCTACTGGTCATTGCATACAATTACAGTATTAGTCATGTCCATGATTGACAACTTAACCTTGGTTCAGACGAAATGAATTCATGCCTGCTTGAAAGCGCTAACACCAAAAACATGGCTGGTGTATGCTGTGTATCCCTATCTAGAGAGTATGTATTCAGTTTACAAAGGCATGAAATGAATACGTTATGATTTTATGAAACACCCCACGTTTGATTTAGAAAACTTTCTAGTATTATTAGTCACTTATTAAAATGTATTTTGGTTTCCACGATTTTGCCCCTTCTATGAAACAGTATGGCTATTACGGGTTGGACACAGGGCTTGGCTGCCTGCCCTGTAACTGCAGCATGTCGGGCTCTATGTCGGGTGACTGCACGGAGGAAGGCCAGTGTCACTGTGTACCAGGTGTAGCTGGGAAAAGGTGCGACAGGTGTGCACGTGGCTTCTATGCATTCCAGGATGGTGGCTGTACATGTAAGCTCTTGAATTCATTACTGAGACTTTCTCATAGTCCCCCAACTCTTCTTTGAACCCTCCTTTGACTTCTAATTCTGTTAAGTTCCTTTATTTTTTCCCTCTTCTTAACATGTAGAATTTCATACCTTTTTTTGTTTGTTTCCCTATTCCAGATACATCTATAAGCTTTGCTCAGGTTTCTAGCAATTGTGTGAGCTTAGATTAATTACTTAACTTTACTTAGCTTTAATTTCCTCATTTGTAAAATGGAAAAGCTAATTATAATATCCATCCAGGATTTTTAAGGTTGTACATCTAGTCTTTAACACAGCATTTGACATAGAATAAATGCTTCATAAATACTAGCTCTATCTGTTCTTCCCACCTATCCAGGTTTTTCCAAGCTTTCCTATTTCATCCCTGTGTCCCGGTTAACTCTCTTCCAGCAGCATTTCTTGACAAGGAGGAACAACCACCTTGCATGAGACACAAAGGGGTCTTGGGAATCACGTGGTCTCTTTTAGGAACTAAGAGAATGATTTAGATTATTAGTAAGAGGGAACTAACTTGTAGCATCAGCTCTTACTCCTTCCGTCGCACTGATTGTCCTGACCTGTAACACCATCATCTGTCTTTGCTGTAGCCTGTGACTGCATTCACACTCACAATACATGTGACCCGGTGTCAGGGGAGTGTATCTGCCCTCCTCATACTCGAGGCGTAACATGTGAAGAATGTGAGGACGGACACTGGGGCTATGATCTGGAGCACGGATGCCAGGTGTGAGCTATCATCTGTGTGTTTTCTTAACTGAGGGTTACTTTGCTCTAGCAAGTTGAATTCCTTTTGTTTTATCTATTCTCTTGATTTTAACTTATTGACTAGCTTTATGGTTTATATTTAAAACTCAAAATGGATTGTAGGAATCAAAGTGAAAGAAACAGCACCATTAAAATACATTATTCTAAGGTTTCTTCAAGAACCTAGCTGTGGAATTGATGGTTAGAAGGTCAAAAATTTATTTTTAGTGCCTTTTAAATATATTATGTGATGTATACTATCTTCTAGGAGATGGGCATAAATTACTTTATTGGGGGGTTATGTCCAATCTTAAAGGGTTCCAATTTTTTATGTAACTTTTTCAGTTAAACTTAGATATAGTTTATGTTTTGAGAACAGAGGAAAAATTACTTTGCTTCTTAAATAATGTTGCTGGACTGTTTGACCCTATGAAGCAGACTGAGTTTCAGATCACAGTCTTGGTCCAGTGCGCATGTGCCACAAAAATGCACAAATGTCCACAATGCAGTCCCTGCCCCCTGCTGGCACGTGGCAGTTAATCCATAGAGTACTATGGAGAGATCATTCCTGTGTATAATTTCCCCACATTTAATGTTTTCCGATCATCCCAGTATGTGCACATTACGAAAATGTAAAAGCTGTCTTTTTGTTTATTTAGTTTTTTTTGTTTGTTTTTTCAGGCCTGCAATTGCAGTCGTGAAGGGTCAGCCAGTCATCAGTGCGATGTGCTCACTGGCCATTGCCAATGTAAGCCTGAATTTGGTGGACGGAGCTGCCATCAGTGCTCCCTCGGCTTCAGAGACTTTCCAGACTGTGTAGCCTGTGACTGTGACCTGAGAGGGACGTTGGTGGACACCTGTGATGAGGGACAGAGTCTTTGCAGCTGTGCAGAGCAAACTGGTACCTGCTCTTGCAAGGTATGGGCCCTCGGCGCTGCACTTTCTTCTTCTCACCTACTTGTCATAGTGACTTTTGAGCTTTTAACTATTTAAATAAGCAGCCAGGTTTCAGACACTTCTCATAATGAGTAAACAATACCTTGTAGGACTGAGTTTAAATTCCATTTGTGCTTTTCCAGAATGATGGATGATTCTTTAAATGGAATTTTTACTGGTCATTGCAAGTGTCAGGTGATGGAGCTGATTTGAAAAACACTCTTGAGTTTTCTAGCATGTGTTCCAGTTGGCTGAGTAGCCAACCTGTCTTGAATATATAGGTAAAATAGATAACACAGGCTCAAGAAGATTTGCAATTTTAGAGCTGGTGATTATTCTTTTGATTATGCTGACCAGATTGAAGGAAATTCATGTTTCTTATATTCCCAGGAGGTAAGATTTCAACATCATGTTTAATTCCATGTATTTCTATTAGTTTTCCCATTGTGCTTTGTTATAAGAACCATGAACCAGGCTCTTACAACGAAGTACAGAGGGAAAACTAATACAATTGCAGGCCTGAAAGAGTTCGCTGGCCACACCTTCTCTGGTCCTTTCCCGGGGCTGATAAAATGGAAGCCAGAGGGTAATGGGTTGATTAGTGACTGGGGATGAGGAAGGGAAAATTCATGTAGCTACTATAACCTGGGAGTAATGGAAGCATCAGTGGATATTTTTGGCTTCCCACATTTGTGATAGCAGTTCTCATAGACGGTAAGAACAGGAGGGACTTGCCTTAATAATCACCTGGTCCATGGTTCTCCACCCTGACTGACCATCAGAGTCACCTGGAACCTCCAGGAGATTCTAATAAAGGAACCTGTACTTTCCAAAAGCTTCCAAGATCATTCTGATCATCAGCTGTTTTGGGGAATCACTGATTGAGCTTTTAAGAGAACTAATGCTCAGAGAGGTTAAGGAGCTTGCCTAAGGAACAGCTAGTCCAGGGATGTTTCTTGATCCATAATTATTTTTATGATTGACTTCATTTCTGTTTGCTCAGAAATCATCTCTTTTTTTTTTTTTTAAGTGAGTCTATTATTTTTTTCCCTTTAGGAAAATGTCCTTGGCCTTCAGTGCAGCGAGTGTCGAGCTGGCACCTACGCTCTCCATGCTGACAACCCTCTGGGATGCACCCCGTGCTTCTGCTTTGGGCTGTCACAACTCTGCTCGGAGGTGGAGGGTTATGTGAGGATGCCAGTAAGTTAGGAATTCAGTTTAAAGTTCTTTTTTTAAGCCCTCTCCCCTTGGGAGTCGGGTTGGGGTAAGAGAGACAGTCAAGTATTTACATTAAATATTGCTCTTAAGGCATCAGAAATCCTGAGAAACTAATTTGGGTTAGTTATGAGTCAGAGCTCTGCTTCTGCTGTCCAGAGGAATGTATGGAGGTGGAACTAAAGGTATTCAGTGTTGCTCCTTAGCTAATCTACTGGAAGCTTTAGTTGGAGAGAAGATAAGATGGCAACATCTCAAGTGTCCTTCATATAACTGAACATTGACCCCGTATAGCAGCAGTTTGACCCTAAATGCAATAGTTTAAAACATGTTCAGTTCATTTCAATCAGGGTTTAGGTTTAAAGCAAAAGTTTTTATTGTTCTTGTTTCAATAATGAAGCTGTCTTGTCTGTGAAATAATGGTAGAATCGGACAAATCAAAGGTATGGAGTAAATTCGTGTTCTAAAGTGCGTGTTTCCTCCCTTCCATGACTAGATAACGCTGGGCTCAGATCAGCCTCTTCTGCGTGTGGTTTCTCAGAGTAACCTCAGGGGCACGACCGAAGGGGTGTATTACCAGGCCCCTGATGTCCTCCTGGATGCTGTGACCGTCAGGCAGCATGTCCATGCAGAGCCGTTTTACTGGCGGCTGCCGGGGCAGTTCCAGGGAGACCAGGTGAGGCCCACACCCAGCCGAGAGCTGGCTCCCCGTTCCCCAGGGGAGATGGGTAGCATTTGAAATCACAATAGACTGGGTTGGCCCATCATTCACTGAAGTGGTTATTAATTTCATTTTCTAAGTGGGGATGGAGAAATTTAACACTTATAAAAATCCCCCCAAATGTATGGCTCTTTACATTTTTTTCATTAATTTTGAAGTCTTTTAAAAATTCAAATCATATTATTTTTCTTCTGAAAGTAGTCATTTGACAAATATTTTTTGTTTTTACTACTATAAGCTCAGTATAAGTCTGGGTGCTATTGCATGGGAGGTCCTTCTCAAGAAATCGTCATCTGGTTTGGGCGAAAATAAAAATGTACTATAAGAGTCTTGAAGGCATTGCTTGCATTTTTGTTTATATTAATGTCAGTCTTCGTGTGAATTCACCCTTGCTCTTTAAGATGTGCAAATATACATACAGTGCAAATATACAGATATAGATAATTTTTAACTCAAAGGAGCTTGAAAATAATCAGGACTTTACTACAAAGATTTGTTATTCTGGAGTTTACCTTTGTTAGTGTCGTCAAAAAGGAAACTGTGGGAGGTGATGGATATGTCTGTGGCTTTGATTGGGGTGGTAGTTTCACGGGTGAAGACATATCCCAAAACTCATCAAGTTGTATGCATTAAATATATGCAGCTTTTTATAGCCAATCATACTTCAATAAAGTAATTTAAAGAAACTTTGTATTATATTCCACATATGAGTCGAAAGGGGGTGAGGAGAGGGTGAAAGGGTCAAATACATGGTAATGGTAGGAAACTCGACTTTGGTGGTGAGCACACAATAGAGCACACAGATGTTGAATTGTAATGTTTTACACCTGATAATTATATAATGTTATTAACCAATGTTAGCCCAATAAATTTAATTTTAAAAAACTTTGTAAAAATCGCTTAACAAAGAAAGGACTATAGCTTGAGTCAACTTAAGAATCCATAATTAAGTAGAATTAGAAGACAGCAAAGTCTAGACAACATATTTGACCCATGTGATTTTTTTTTTTCTGTGATGTATTTTTAACAAGTTTTCTTTCAATGGCAGCAGGCTTGTAATGAAATGTTTTTAAACCAATGCCTTGTCAGAGAAGTAAACAACAATTTACTATTTGGTAGCTCATGGCCTATGGTGGCAAACTGGAGTACAGCGTGGCCTTCTATTCCTCCAATGCCATGGGCACCTTCAATCTCGAGCCTCAAGTGCTCATCAAAGGAGGCCGGACCAGAAAGCAAGTTATTTACATGAATGCACCTGCACCAGAGAACGGAGTGAGACAAAAGCAAGACATAGGAATGAAAGAGGTGACCATGTGCTCTTTTCATATGAGCCTCATAAATGTATGGATGTAATGAAGTCATGAAGCGGCTGTAATTGAGTGAGCATGGAGACCCGGGGATCAAAATTGCAATGGTTTTAGGCAAGATTTCTAAAAATAACTCAAATTTCTATTCTCAAAACAAGGATATTAGGTTTATGTTAATGTAATAGCAACTGCATCTTAAATTCTTTATCTTGGTACATAAGTCTCAACCTGTGTGGACATGATGGTAAGAAGTCTTTGGACTTGCTTAAATCTGGGAAGCAAGTATTCATTCACTGGGCAGATATTGATTGATTGTCCACTGTGTGGCTGGCACTGTCGTCGGTGATGTGTGCCTGTGGATAAATGAGACTGGCCCTGCTGCTGCCTCTGGGAGGTGACAGGCGATCTTCCTCGGTTAAACTCAGGGTCATACCTAGAACTGGGCTCATTTCTGGAGAAATGTGCAAAAGAATTACTCTTTATAAGTTCATTGCGTCTGAGAATTTGTACTCAGAATTTAACTGAATGTGTTTCTCATCCTCAGAATTACTGGAAATATTTTAATTCTGTTTCTGAAAAACCTGTCACACGCTCAGATTTTATGTCTGTTCTTAGCAACATTGAGTACATCCTCATCAAAGCATCTTATGGTCAAGGATTACAGCAAAGCAGGTACTTGGAAACTTCTACAATTTAGAAAACATTTTTCTTATATGAAAGCAAGCTGAAGGGATTTGATTCACTTCACCCCCATTACCTCCTATCATTCTTAATATATGTATTTCTGTTCTCCACCAAAACCTTATTAAATATTAGTATTAGTGTGAAGTGTGTGAAAAATGACCAGGATTATCCGTCTCTCATATAATGTGGATATAAAATACAAGTACATAATGGTGATATCTTAGGATAAAATGGGGGAAAAAAGTTAAGCTCTGCTATTTTTTGCCCTTAAACTGCAATGCCCATTCCTTTGTAATGATGTATCAAGGAATGCTGTCACCTGCTCATTTAATACTTAGCCTATAAAGAACGCCACTAAGTTTTGGCCAAACTGATACTTCAAGAGGTCTTTCGGGTACAGTTTCTGTAACACTATTTTTACGTTCTAAAATGTTCACTGAGCAACTTCACTGTGTAATGACAGAACTAACGTGTTTTTCACATTTCCTTTGTAATCGTGAATAGGAACTAATCCCAAGCGGTTAGGAACGCTCTGGTTTAATTTTATGTGCAAATACCATTATGTAATGTGCTATGTTTCTAAAAAGTGTCTTTCTAAATATTAGTGTTTCCTCTCACTCTTCTTAACACGGTTTCACAGAATCTCAAACATTTCAATGGAGGTGGGCAGGAAGGCTGCAGAGCAGCACGCAGGAAGGAAGGTTGCCTCCCTGCTGGAGAAGTGTCTCTGTCCTCCTGGTACAGCTGGACTTTCATGTCAGGTAGGGACATGGTTTTGAGTTGAAATATGCTTGGTGTAGCAACTCCAAGTGATTAACAGAACGTATGCATAGTTATTATATTATTTTTTCTCTTAAAATTTTAATATGGTAAAATATACATAAACATAAACTTTATAATCTTAACCATTTTTAAGTGTACAGTTCTGTAGAGTTAAGTACATTCACAGCCAACCTCCAGAATTCTTCATTTGGGAAAACTAAAACTCTGTACTCATTAAACACTAACTCTACATTCCCCCTCCCCGCAGTCCCCGGTAACAACCATTCTATTTTCTGCTTCTGTGAATTTACTCTAGGTACCACATATACGTATAAGTGGAATCATATAGTATTTGTCTTTTTATGATTGGCTTGTTTCACTTTGAATAATGTCTTCAAGGTTCATCCAAGTTTTACCATGTGTCAGACTGTCCTTCCTTTTTAAGGTTGAATAATATTCGCTTGTATGTATAGACCATATTTTGTTTATCCATTCATCTATCAATGGACACTTGGGTTGTTTCACCTTTTGGCTATTGTAAATAATACTATTATGAACATGGGTGTACAAATAC